AAAAAGAAATTTTCCTCCGAAGTTTCATCGAGATTTAAACACGTCGTTTCGGCGTTTTCGTCTCGTCGGTTGCCAAACCGAGAGCTGTCCACAGATTCGATCGACTCCCGTTCGACGGCCAAACCGAAAGTTGCCAAACAGAAAGTTGCCGAACTCTCGAGCGGCCTTCGACAATCGGGCCGCGCCGCGGCGAAAAAGCCAGAATGGAATTGTCCGGGCGATTCATGGCACGAGCAGCGAAAGAAGCGTCGCCGTTCTCCTTTATTCGGCCACGGGATACGGCATTCATGGCCGGCCGTTCCGCGGCATCGTAATTTCTTCGACGATAATTAGCAACCGCTCGCACCTTGGCCGACCGGGCGACGCCGCGCCGACGCTGGTTTACGGTTACAATTAAAAATTTTTTAATTTCGCGAAAACCTGCTTCACCCCACCGGCGAGGATTGCCCCCGGGGAACCTCGAGGAACGCGCGACCCACTCCACCCTTCACCCCTCCCCGCACCGCCTTTCTCGTTGTAATAGGCTGTCTCCCTCGTCTCGCTGACTTTTCTTCGGCCGCACTTATTTCGCCCGAGCTCGACGCGAACTTTTCACCTCCATCGCCTTCCCCGCAACCCCTCGCTCGCTCTGTCCGCTCCAACGACTTTTCTTCGGCCACACCTACCCAGCTCGAAACTAATTTCATAGGCGAGAAAATTAACTACGACGTTCGCTGCGGGAGAACGCGTCACCCCGCACGCTCGTCGATCTCGTCCACCTTTCGTCACTCGATTATTTCAACGTTCTTTTTTTTCTTTTTCTTTTGGCTATTTCAAGCATTCTCAGAGATTCATTTGCTTCGCTGTAACATTTAGAAAAGAACTGAGTTAGCTGTGCGTTTACATATTATATACTGGGTGGGGGTGGGGGGTGGCATTTGAAAAGAGACACGTGAATAACTCGCTTGATTTTGAAAATAGAAAAAAGAACGTAAGGCAAAAGTTGTTTAATTTCAAGGGGAATATTATTCGATATCAATATTTTTTTTATAGGTGGAGACGTAGAGGATATACGAAGGTTAAACTTGTTTTTTAAAATGGGATAACCTAATTTCTTATTCACATTCTAATAGAGCCTTTCAAGACGAGTATAATGACCTATAAATGAAGATTGTACAAGGACGCAACATAGGAGCTACAGTGAAAAACAACCCCATAAAAATATTCTTCTCGTCTCGTTAAAATATGGGGCTAGATGATTTTACTCGTCGTAGAAGGAGAACGAAAATGTTATTAGATCTTGCCAATTTACATGCACAGACTGTTAGAGTCTGGATTTTCTACCTCATTTACAAGGCCACCGAAGGTCCAATAACAGTCCATTGTCCTTTACAAGCTGTACTGCAGCAGCCGATGAAATGGGGTGGATGCAAACTTCGAAAGGGTCGACGAATCTACCGGGGATGATTCGAAGGACTCGATGAGCCTTTGGGATTCTTTTGAAGGTCGACGATCGCGGTGGAAATTCGAGGTCGAAGAATTTGTAGGAGACGATTGGGGGTAGATGAACTTTTAGGGCACTTTCGAAGGTCGGCGAACTCGCAGACAATTGAGGATCGAAGTTTTTTTGTAGGAGACGATCGAGGTTCGTAGAATTTATAGGAGACGATCGAGGGTCGAATTAGAATATTTATTATATTTTAGTGTTATTATATTTATCCTTTGGCACAGATGTTTTTTTGGATGAAAGTTCGTGCCATGAATCTTTAAGGGACCCTTGAAGAGTCCGTGATTTTTATTGGTCCTCTAGGGGTCAATTAAACCAATAATAAAAATTAAAATAATAACTATGTTATTATATTATATTATATTATACTGTATAATATTATGTTATGTTATGTTATGTTTTATTATATTGTATTATATTATATTATATTATATTATATTATATTATATTATATTATATTATATTATATTATATTATGTTATGTTTTATTATATTATATATTATATTATACGTGTATATGTTTCTTAAAAACAGCGAGGTCTACATAAATTCGTGTAAGAGTTGTAAAAAGACGAGTCATCTCGTCGCGTAAGATGCTCACAAAAGCTTAGACCATCCTTGCCGTGGTTCTTTATCGTCTTTTTTCCAAAGCGAGTGGTAGCTCTTTCTTTCTTCATCCGTTTCTGAACTGTGCGGAAGCAGTTGCGTTCTCCATCGTTTATCGATTGGCTCGTTTTATTTCCAGGTGCGGTGGATGTTCTTCGGACGGTATTCGTAAGATCTTCTGATCTGCCTTCGCGCCGCTGGTGAAAAACGGCGTGAGAAATTCGACTGGCAGCGGGAAGATGATGGTGGAGTTCTTCTCCGCTGATATGCTGTTCAACGTTTGCAGGTAACGCAGCTGTCGACGCGAAAGCCTTAGTTAGAGCACAATTTGTCAATCCCTCCGAAATAAAACGAACGGAAAGTTCGGCTTCGGAAGAAAAATTAGGGGACAACGGGAAACTGTGCGAGGGTGCTTCTAAGGGTGCATAAGATTATCATCAATTTTATTGCAGCTGGACGGCGTTCCTGTTCAATATTTATAATATTGTACGATAGATCGATGTTTCTAGATAACGTAACGAACTTCGAAATATTTATTTAATATGAATAAAAGGTAATACAAGTAAAATAGTGAACATAAAATGGAGCATGTTCTTGCTCAGAAACGCCGGTATTCGAATAAACATTTTTATTTACAGCTGATTGTTACATAACAGTATTTGCGCGAGTGATTTTGTAAAGGACAATGTTCAAAGATCTGGATAGAATTTTTACATCCACTTTCGTATGCTCCAACAAATTTTTATTGTATATTTCTTGTTTTTATCGCGTGCGTTTCAAGAAGGGGTCACGATTGAGCGGTGTTTCATATTAGATACTAAAGCATCGCTAATTTCTAGCCGAAGAATAGTCAATCTTTGAACGGCTGTAACTCCGTTCAAAGCTGTCATAAAATCATGAATTTTTTTTTTAAATTAAAGCTTGGAATCTCTACTTTACGACGCCGTGTTCCAATTTCCAATATCACGCGTCCTCGTGACTGTAGTACCTTAAATCCGAGGGCATGTTCGCGATACCGAAGAATTGGAAACTAAATAAAGCCATTATTTCGTGGAAACGAAGCCGGAAACATCTTTCTCGGAGAAAAATGAAAACGTCAGGATTCTAGAGTGTTCGGTACCGAAGGCATAGCAAAAGAATCTACCTGAAGTGCAGCCGGACTGGTGGAAATGACGTCGCTGGCCTCTTTTAGAGCCCGGGACGCCAGCATTTCTCCTTCCGCCGCAATCACTTTTGCTCTAGCTTCCCTTGCAGCTTCCGCCTCCGTGGCCATTGCCCGCTGCAACTGCACCGGAAGTCGGACGTCCTTTCTGAACAGGGAATTTCACTTATTAATTGTTCCACGACGCGCGACCTATTCGAAACGGTTCGTAAATAACGGAACGTTTTCCCGCAACAAAACCGGCCACGGCTGAAGAATCTTTAGGTTTCGAGCTTTGGTCGCAGGCAACGGCTCTGAAATTATTTTCCATCGGTCCCTGAGTACGTTAGAACCCTTGCTCGCGACATAATCGGCCGATTATGCGACGTCAAAAAAGATTATACGATTTTCAACGCGTGTAGATTTTGATGGTTGGACGCAACGCAGTTATTTCTCTTTAATTCGCGCTCAGATTGCGCACAGAAATGGACAATACAACAATTTTATAGTCGTTGACAATCGGTAATTATAAATAATCGTATTTTCTGTTCGCAAATGGTCCATTTTCGTGCGCAATCTGAGCGCGAATCAGGGAAAAATTGCTGTAATTGCCCGCGAATTATTTTCAGCGCGCCGATTTATTTGGAATCGAAGCAGAATTGCCCTCGAAAAAAATCTAAAAACCGAGGCAAAAAATCTAGAGAGAAAGTGAACGGAGACGCGGAAGAAACAGAAATTGTCTCGCGTTTTATCGGGGAAATTATCGAGGACGAAGTTGCGAACGAAATCGTAAGGGTTCAAAGAATTTAGTCGAGTAAATCCATTTCGATGGATCGACCGTACCAAATCGGACGCTTCTCGACGCTCCGAACCGTTCGATAGTAAATAGCTGAATTCCGCTAAATTGCCAGCCGGTAAACAATTTTAGTCCCCAGGTATTCGGACGCTCGCTCGCGACGAAATCGATCAAAGCCGCGCGGAGTCTTATTTTGTCGCGCGGAGAGATCTCGATCTCCGGACGCGGAAACGCGGAATGCTATTTTCCACGGTTTCGGGCCGATTGTCCCGATTTCTAGGAACGTCCGAGGCTGAAGTGTTTCTCGCCCCGCGGCTCGTGTTTCGCGTTTAGCGCCCTCGTTTGTATTTAAGGGCTGCCCCGAATCGGGGGTGAAAACGCGCGCTCGAGGAGCACTCGACCGGAATAAAAATATATTCGGCGAGCTGTTTTGCTTCCATTCCGCGGCCGGTTCGGCTTAATTCTTCAACGATCGCTATCGCGGCTTTCTATGGCCTCTATGGCGAATTGATCTCGATTCGAAAGAGCGTGTTCCACCTCTGTGGGCTGCTTTTAAAATCGCGTCCGAACATTCGCGAATCACCGGCTTACCGATCGCCTTTCCAACCGGCATCTGAAAGAAACTCAACAATTTCCTTCCAGCTAATAATCCTGCAAGAAGCTGTTAACCCGTTGCATTCTGTGATTTCTTTAACCGTTACTTTGGTTTGCACTTGCTTGTCTCCGGTAAAACGTGAGAAAGAAAGTTTATATTTATCGGATGGCAACCTCTAATGTTTAAATATTCGTAATATAAAATTAAATTGTACAATTTGATTCCGATTTAAACGACGCGAATAATTTATGCAATTAGAGGATCATATTCGAAATGTTCATTACTAATTTGATACGATGTCTATTTATTTATTTACTTATTCATTTACTTATTTATTCATTTACTTATTTATTTATTTTACGGACGAAGTACTTTTACATCAGGTAAATAAGGACTTCGGAATAAATAGGAGAACAGATAATAAATAGATAAGGATAAATAAATAAGTAAATAAATCAAGAGAATAGAATAAATATGTTCAATCGACGAATAAATATTATAAGGACGGCAATTAAATTGTATTACTCGTAATGATTATCTTTTCGGGACGTATCTTCGGCGATGGACTAAAAGCGACTCAAAGGCCACGTCGCTACGTTTTTTTTACGGCCCACACCGTCGACCCGCCTTTTCTTCCTTCATCTACTATGCGTGCCACCCCTTTCGAAAGCACTCGAAACCTCTTTCTCCGACTTTGGTGGCGTGCCCGGCTATCGAAGCCGAGACCAAAGGGCTCTTCGATGGCTTTCTCGATGGCACTCGAGTGTCCGCGTTTATGCGCGTTCACGTACCCCTTCGGCAGCTAGGATAGCCTGCTACGGCTAGTAGCTTTAGGTGCCCTAACCCTCGTACAGTCAGTCGATGTCTTTCGTGCCTACCACCCTAATTCCGGCTTCGCTTGTCGCTCGGGAATCGATCTGGCCGTTAAAGAAGCATTAATACCTGGGAACTAATAACCCTTTCATAGGCGCTGGGAACTGAGCTTCCTGTTGAAATGTGCTGCAATATATATATATATATATATATATATATATATATATATATATCTGTCTCTTATACACATCTAGATGTGTATAAGAGACAGATATATATATATATATATCTGTCTCTTATACACATCTAGATGTGTATAAGAGACAGATATATATATATATATATCTGTCTCTTATACACATCTAGATGTGTATAAGAGACAGATATATATATATATATATCTGTCTCTTATACACATCTAGATGTGTATAAGAGACAGATATATATATATATATATCTGTCTCTTATACACATCTAGATGTGTATAAGAGACAGATATATATATATATATATCTGTCTCTTATACACATCTAGATGTGTATAAGAGACAGATATATATATATATATATCTGTCTCTTATACACATCTAGATGTGTATAAGAGACAGATATATATATATATATATCTGTCTCTTATACACATCTAGATGTGTATAAGAGACAGATATATATATATATATATATATATATATATATATATATATATGTTTTCACTCCTCAGAATTAGGGGGATGAATAAATAATAAATAAATAAATGTATATATATATATTATATATTATATTATTATATTATATATTATATTATTATATTATATATTATATATTATAATATATTATATTATTATATTATATTATATATTATTATATATTATATTATACATATTTATTTATTTTTTGTTCACCTCTAATATATATATATATATTTTTGTTCACCCCTAATATATATATTTATTATTTATTCACCCCTAATTTAGAGGGGCGAAAAATTCAAAACAACAGCAAAGCGAATAGCAGCTGTATTGCTGTGCGCTAAAATTATGGCAAGCGAATATTCGAATTTTTCTGAAAATTCATATCGTGCCCACGAAAGGGTTAATAATCTCAAAGAATTCGAGAACACAACGTGTCCGAACGTTTTCAAATTCTCGCACGAAACTTGCAGCATCTCGGTTTCGTCGCGATTGCACGTAATGCACGGTTGCCAGGCTCGAGTTCGAGGCAACTGGTCCTTTCGAATGCACTGGCATAAACTGATCTCCGTGTTCCGATGATATCCGAATCTATAATGGTGGTCTCGTTTTCCGATACAGCGCTGGCGCAGTCGGCGGCAATCTGCCAGCAGGAGTTTACGAAATTCTCGCTACGTCAAACTCGATAACGATAGTTCGCGCGGCGTATTATGCGCGCCGGTTTCGCCGCACGCTTTAGGAGATAAGTTCTTCCGTTCGCGGCCGATGATCGTCCATCGCGAGAGAAACCGTCGCCGTTGAGAAACACCGGCTAAAGTCGGGCAGCTATTGTTGCACACACACGCACATACACACTCACATCTCGACGCGTTCAACCTTGACACCCCAAGGATCCGTGGCCTCGTCCAGAGATATCTGCATGGTGTGAGAGATGTTTTCGCGCTCGGACAGAATCTCGGCCAGGTTTCTCGTCCCGAGAACGGTTCTCAGCGTGCTGGCGGCGAGCAGTCGGGTCGAATGACTGGAAAATGAATCGACGATCTTCGAAATAGATGTTAAAATAGAATTAGAATTAAATTGAAATAGAAACAGATTCTCATTCGACGAGTCGGCATAAACGGCACGATCGCGACTTTGATAACAATTAGAATGGCAAGCGAACTGTGCGATTGTAATTAGTAGACCGCCGATCTTTATGAAAAATAATAATAATAATAAAAATAATAATAACGATTATAATATTGAAATTAGTGCAGCAATATTCTTGGTTTCATTGCATCATTTCACTGTCGCAAATTTTATCTACCAATGCTATAAATGCATTAGCTTATTAGTAATAGCTAATTAGTAATAGCCTAAGTTAATGATTAAATTAACCTAAATAGTAGTACAACAGCTGTATCTTTATTTAATCCACTCTCGACTGCCTGCGACTCTTCGCTGTTTCATTCGACTGTCTCCGATTTAAACCCGGCTGCTCCTGACCTCTTGACCCGTCCTCCGCATCGGAGCAATTTATATATTTACCTTTTACCAATTTACAACACTCGGCGACCCGAGAAGTGCATCGGAGTGCTCTGCTCGCAGAGAGAGACAGACAAATTAGAGAAGATTTAAAGCGTTTTTCGTAGCGGAACGTCGAGGACGGCGATGGCCGAGGCCTGCGACCACGTTCGCGGGGGTCGAAGAAACATGGTCCCGCGACTTGTACGCGAAATAATCGAGTCGCTGCCGCCGCACCGTCACAAATTATTCAAGTAATTTGGTCACGCTCTCGTAGCCCCTCGACGAGCCGTCCTCCGCATTTTTCTCCTCCATCGTCGCATTCGCTCTCGAGACGGAACAAGACCGTGTCCGCGTCCCCTCGGAGACGTTAATTAAAATTTCAGGAAATCGTGTCCGCGTTAATTAACTCGTTCGTTCGCCCCCCCTCCCCTCTCCCATCTCGCCCCCAGCTCTACAATTTTCGGATCGAGGAGTTTCCGAACGAAAGGTTCTTCCGCTTCATTAGTTTTTCTTCTCGTGCGCAAACAGAAACGGTTCTGCGGCCATTTTTATTAGAGCCGCGGCTTTCTGGGTGACGAATGCTGGAGGGACAACAGGGTTCCGGAGGGAGAATGTTCATGGAGAGCGATGTTTGGGGAGAGGAGGGTTAGAGATTAGCAAGATTCTAAAAGAGTAAGGTTCAAGAAAGGTGAGATTCTAAAAGAGTAAGGTTCAAGGAGAACGAGATTCTAACAAAAGCAAGGTTCGAGAAGAGCAAGATCCTAAAAGAGCAAGATTCTAAAGAAGCAAGATTTTAAGAAAGCAAAGTTCTAAAAGAGTAAGGTACAAGCAAAGTGAGATCCTAAAAGAGCAAGATTCAAGAAGATCAAGATTTTAAAAGAGCAATGTTCAAGCAGAACAAGGTTCAAGAAGATCCTAATAGAGTAAGATTCTGAAAGAGTAAGGTACACTACTACACAAGAAAAGTGAGATTCTAAAAGAGTAAGGTACAAGAAAAGTGAGATTCTAAAAGAGTAAGGTACAAGAAAAGTGAGATTCTAAAAGAGTAAGGTTCAAGGTTATGTCAAGGTTATATTATTATTNACAAGAAAAGTGAGATTCTAAAAGAGTAAGGTACAAGAAAAGTGAGATTCTAAAAGAGTAAGGTACAAGAAAAGTGAGATTCTAAAAGAGTAAGGTACAAGAAAAGTGAGATTCTAAAAGAGTAAGGTACAAGAAAAGTGAGATTCTAAAAGAGTAAGGTACAAGAAAAGTGAGATTCTAAAAGAGTAAGGTACAAGAAAAGTGAGATTCTAAAAGAGTAAGGTACAAGAAAAGTGAGATTCTAAAAGAGTAAGGTACAAGAAAAGTGAGATTCTAAAAGAGTAAGGTACAAGAAAAGTGAGATTCTAAAAGAGTAAGGTACAAGAAAAGTGAGATTCTAAAAGAGTAAGGTACAAGAAAAGTGAGATTCTAAAAGAGTAAGGTACAAGAAAAGTGAGATTCTAAAAGAGTAAGGTTCAAGGTTATGTCAAGGTTATATTATTATTATACATTATATATTATATTATATATTATAGCCTAAAAGAGCAAGATTCTAAAAGAGTAAGGTACAAGGAAAGTGAGATTCTAAAAAGAGTAAGGTTCAAGGAAAGCAAGATTCTGAAAAAGTAAGGTTTAAGAAGAACAAGATTCTGAAAAAGCGAGATCCCAAAAAAGCAAGATTTTAAGAAAGCAAAGTTCTAAAAGAGCAAGGTTCAAGAAGATCAAGATTCTAAAAGATCAAGGTTCAAGATTCAAGAAGAACAAGGTTCAAGAAGAGCAAGATTCTAAAAGAGCAAGATTCAAAGAAAGCAGCATTCTGAAAGTATAAGATTCGGAAAAAGCAAGTTTTAAAGAACTAAGTTCAAGAGAAACAAGGTTCAAAGAGAGCAAGATTCTAAAAGAGCGAAGTTCGAGACAATCAAGATTCTAAAAGAGCAAAGTTCAAGAAGAGCAAGGATTCTAAAAATGCAACGTTTAAGAAGAACAAGGTCCAAGAATAAGACAGTTAGACCAAGACAAGGCGCGTTCTCTCGTACCTGTAATTGGCGATCTTGACGACAGCGTTTAGGGGTTCCTTGATGCGATAGTATACGACCGCGTCGACGGTCACGGTTACGGAATCCTTGGTAAGGACTTCCTGTGGAGGGACGTCGAAGGATACGGTCCTCAGATCCACGCGCACGCATGTGTCGACACATGGCATCACGAAGAACGTCCCTGTCAACAGCGACAGTTTAAAAGGACTACGAATATTCGCTGAGATGCGCCAAACCTTGTCATTTCTTTCTTTCGATAGACTTCTACCTTTTCCTCTCGAAAAATGGCGTGTTCTGTACACACTGCTTTATTAACTTAGAAATAATACAAATATCTTCGATCGCGTTTATCTTCTTATCGCACCGATGGCTTTCCGTTTAATCAAAGGAGGATAAAAATACATGAAGGTACGAATTGAATTTGGAAAATCGAGTCATTCCACGTTGAATAATTAGCGTTCGTGTGTGCCAGTCTAATGAAATTCGTAGAATCGACTAAAGTTTCCGGAGATTAAATGGAGGATGAAACTGATTGATTGAGTAATTTGTTACAGGAAGAATTCGCGAGCAAAACCTGTTTTCATTTTTGGAAGACGAGCAAGCCTTTTCAGATTTAAGTTCTATATTTTATGGAGGAATTCTAAACCAGCAAACTCGTTATTATTAACGATTATTTATTATTATTATTATTTATTTAATCCTTGCCTACTAGGCTTAAATTTAATCTTTAATTTACATCTCTACCTTTCGACAGTAAGATGAACTGCAATCAAAGATATCTTCTCACACAAATCTGGCAATTAATCGTAAATCCGATCAAAGAACAAACACAAGCATAAGCCAAAAGTAATTTCGCCGTAACTGCATCGCGGTGTCGCAAATTGCGATCATAATCACCTGGACCACTGGCGTCGCCCTTCAACCGGCCCATCCTGAAGACCACGGCTCTCTCGTACTCCTGCACGACCTTGAACGTGAAGCACAGCGAGAACGGGAACGTGACAAGCACCAGCAGGAAGGACCCCATGGTCGCGAGCACCTCGATGAACCTCGTGGTCGCGTCCACGTCGTCTTGTTTCGGCATCTGCGATCCGAGGTTTTTGGGCGACTCTTCTGCGCTTTTCGCGAGAAAGGAAAACGAAAGAACGCGGTGAGAGAGAAAGCGGCGAATGCGATCGAGCGGAACGAAAGGGTTGCTTCCCGAGAAAGCAATCCGTCCGCCGGACGACTGTTTCCCTTTCGGGGGCCCCGTAGAGGGATGCGACGAGAGTGCCGGGGACAATCGACGGAGACGCGTTCGCGCGTGCAAGGTTCACGACCGACAGATGTACGGGCCCAGCTAATCTCGACGGGACACGTTTCACGGGTCCGTGATCAAACGGGAGCCGATTGTCCCCGGAAACAAAAGCTTCCGTCGTTCTCGCACTCTACTTCGCGCGTCCCGCGAGCGGCATTCCTCTAGGCCCTTTAACCCTTGTGTCGGAAACCGGGGGTGGTTGACGCGTCAACTTTACCGGGGCTGATTGTCGAGGCTTGTTTGGAAATCGCCGATTCTTTTGGCTGCGCGTTGAATGATCGGAGAAGTAACAGTGGCGGCATGCGTTTGGTGAAATTGATCGCTTGGCGCGTCATTAATTCGCGGATCTTCTTAGACCAAGTGGACTATCGATCTCTTGCTCTATAATATCAAGGTGGACTCATTTTCTAGTGGTGACGTCGATTAAACGTGATCTGCCATCTGTGTTTGTCTATTTTGTTGTGTGCAGGATGAGAGCTTTGTTCGGGTGAACGATGCATAAATAAATATTCTGATATATTTTTTGTACAGTTGGGTTTTGCAGTACTAATTTAGGTAATGTGAATAAGTAGAGAAATGGAGATCATGTAAATGCGATAGACAAATGTAGATAATGTGAATATAGTAGACAAATGTAGATCATGTAAATATAGTACACAAATGTAGATAATGTGTCATATAGTAGACAAATGTAAATAGTGTGTCATATAGTAGACAAATGTAGATAATGTAAATATAGTAGACAAATATAAATAGTATGTTATATAGTAGAAAAATGTAGATAATGTGTCATATAGTAGACAATTGTAAGTAAATAATAATAATAATAATAATAAATGCAGTAGAAATGCAACAGAAATGCAGTAGATCATGTGGATAACTCTAAATTTAGAGTGGTCAATTTATTAGAAAAATCAGCAAAAGTTTAACCAAATAATTTAACCCAGTAATTATTCTGATATCCAAACA